CTCCAAACTAAATGGCTTTTTATCAGAAATCAGCCAGTGATCCCAGGAAAACGGTCTTACCTTAAATCCCTCCAAATGCCAAACAGTCAATTTCACCTTTAGGCATAAATCTGACCTAAACAAACTGGTTAGCACTCACGAGATGTGCAACATAGATGGCACTGAAATAGAAACCAAGTCGGAAATTAAATATCTTGGCGTCATTCTATCTGCTGATCTTTCCTGGTCGTCTCATATCTTGATGATTTCTAAGGAAATATTCCGTCTTACCTTCTACGTCAAGAAGTTAAGACATTCTGGAATAGCCCAACCCTTACTCTTACGATTCGTTAACTCTTGCATCCTGCCTAGTATTCTCCATTGTTCCCCATTAGTTTTTTCAGGACTAATGAAGAAGGACAATATCTTATTATGTAGGATGTTAAAGGTTGTCAGCAGGGTAAGCAACATGCCACATAACCAGCTTGTTAATATTTTGGTCGACAGGCACATGGACTCATGCGAAAAATGGGCTAAATCCATTTTATCTAACTCACACCACCCTCTTCATTCACAACTCTCCCCTTGTATCTCATCAGGCAGAACCAGAAGCCTTTATTAGAAACTATATGCTCACACTAGCAAGTATAAATACTCAACCATACCCTACTTAGCTCGTGTTCTGTGTGATAGAGAAAGTATTAGGCGTGGATCTCGTCTTTCCAACTCATATCATTTATAGGTACAACGTTTTCTTTCTTTCTTTTCCTTTTCTCGCTATCTTTTTTTTTCTGTTATGTGCTGTCTTGTTTCTTTCTTCCTTACAAACTCTACTTAAAACATTCTTCTGCGTTCTTTCACACTTTGTATATCTCGACCTTTTTGCTACCGCTTACGCCAGTAAATATGCTAGCATCTACTTTTCTAACACCTTCAAACGCTCTGTTCCTTTTTGGCTTTGCTATCAATATGCTAATATGTTGTTGTCAAAACTAACCGAGATTACCCATAATCTATGTAGAATTTTAGTTATGGTTCATGTACTAACTGGATGCAATAATGTGGTAAAATGCTGTGAATTCCATTCTGTATCACAAGTACTATTTTGGAATAAAGCAAATTATTATTATCATTACCCATCGTGGGAAACGACGGCTAGGCATGCCCAATAAGTGTCCTAACCATTTAAGGTGTGAGTCCCTTGAACCATTTACAACTTTTAGAAATTAATTCTTTTCCTTGAGACGCCTTATAGTCAATCAATTCCATTCTTGATTGTATGTGTGTGCTCACTCGCTTAATATGTTAAATATACATTTGAATGTCATTTAAATTAGTATATATATATATATATATATATATTAGTGCACTTTCCTGATATAACTTTCTTGAATAACAAAATATAATCAAATACACTATTGATTTAATAGCCTTGATTGTTGACGTATTGTCTACAGACTGACAAAAGTATTGATGCAATTGTCTATGCAGTATTTTCTGCATAATTATATATTACATGCATGTCGTATCATGAATTGACGTGTTGTCTATATGTAACAAAATAAATTGTGAATTAGACAAAACAACATATGGAGTACATATTTACTAGACAATTAATGAGTTTAAACACGTTTTTTTTTTAAAAAAACTAATATTAATTTTCACTGATTAAATATGCCCAATACAATTTTCAAGAGAATGGATACTGAACAAAAAGTAGTCTTTTCGATAACCCCTTCATCATCAGGCTCTACAGTTATATATACATTATAGTGAATGAATGAATGAATTAGCGTTATGAACAACATTAATGCTGTTTAAATAACATCGAATCAATAATAATAATATCAGTGGATTACAGTTCAATAGCATCAACATAAAATAAGCTGAATGTCAGAAAAATTAGGAAAGATAAAATTACAAATTCATGAATTCATAGTCTCTACTGAAGGCCGGCCAGGGCAGTAGTAGTGTCTGAACCTGCTTTTTTTGCACACAGAACACTGGTTGTTTGAGGCGAATTAAAATAGCCTCTGCTGTTTGGAGCATGTTGTGCTTCGATGATTTTGGCAATTTATTAGGCACCCGGTAGATGATAGAGAAGGATTCTTCAATGCTGGCTGGCTTTGTGTCCGGTTAGCACCAGATGGTCCAATATCGAACTGTTAATGGTTATCACTACACCTTTACTTAACCATAGTGGGAAATGTTCTCGAGTCAGCAGGAAAAATCAAGTTCCGAGAGCAACAGCCACTATAACTCGCTCCAGCACAAGCGCAGTTGAATTGGTAGATACAATTTGAAGTGGGTAGCTAGTCTAGGTACTTCATCTTTCAGTCGAGGTAGGACCATCGGTCGTGTAGAGAATAAGACATGTAGTTCTCCAGCATTAAAAGTTCTTTGAACTGATTTGATTAATCTCTTCGTAATTATCTCACTTGGTATATCACCCTTGAATTGTAGTCGTATATAAAGCGGCTTCTTGTTTACATATCGTGAGTAGTCCTTTTCCGCTTCTTTTGTCATCTGTTTCTTGGTAAATTTGTTGGGATAGCTATTTTAAATCAAGGTATCATATACGGTGCTTAATCCATCTTCAATTACTTCTTCTGAGCATATAGCGCTAACTCTGTGACTGAGGGTCTTCACTAAATTTCTAATTTCACTAATGTTGTTCATAACACTAATTAATTCTTTCATTATAATATGTATATAACTGTAGAGCCTGATGATGAGGTTATTGAAAAGAGTACTCTTTGTTCAGTATCCTTTCTTTTGAAATATTAATTTTGATTAGTGGTAGATTTTTAGTCTATTGTCAGAGTCCTCAACGAATATGCTTGAATCCACTACTGCAAAAAGTTTGGAGGAAAGGAAATAAACTTACTGATTAGAAGAAGGGGGACTACGTTGTTAAATTACTAGAGAAGGTTGACGACTTCAGAGCTTACGGAATCATGATCCTGGCTGACCACGCTGGGGGAAAATATGAAGTCACGTTATCATTGAGAGACTAAAAGATGCTTTGGGCGCAAAACTCCTCCCGAAACCAACTGGATTCAGGAAAAGCGAATCATATTAGGACAGAATTGCAATGCTGCTCATCATCATCGAATAGAGTCGCATCTTTTTTGATGTGGTTGTGTTCTCTGAGCTGGATACTTAATTTGCGAAGCTTTCATCACCCTACTGGGTGATATCCTCAGCGCATATTTCAATTTAAAGTGAGCTTTTAGATTTCTTCACGAGTTTATTAATCATCTGAAACAAGAATGCTAGAAAATTTTTAGAAGCTTGGTATTCCACTTTGGAAAAGGCCTTCGACAGAGCGTAAACTGTAAAGTAATTTGGAAACTGTATTCACTACTACGGATTACCCCAAAGTGATATCAGTCTAATTCAACAGCTGTATGATAAAGTTACAAACCAAGTGATTGACAAAGGAAAACTGACCGAAGCGTTTGAAGTGAAAGCAGAAAGAGGACAAGATTGCCTACTGCCATTGATGATATTCTTGATTGTTGTGGACTGGATGATGTGACACACCGTGGGAGAAACGGGACGATGAGTATACGTTGGTCCAACGAGTAGACACCGGAAGACGTAGACTTTGCGAATGATTTATGCCTTCTGAACTAAGCATAATGAACACGATTGGGATTTTCAATCTTAATGTCAAGTCAGGGCTACTATATAGTTCAGAGACTTGGTGCACGAGTTGAGCGTAGGTCCGAAGGTGACATGGAGAAGACCGTTTTGGGGGGGAGGAATGATAGGATCCCACATATTTTGGTATTGACTGTTAATCTTGTATATATGGTATATTATCATTCTCACACATTTTGGTATTGACTGTTAATCTTGTATATATGGTATATTATCATTCTCACACATTTTGGTATTGACTGTTAATCTTGCATATATGGTATATTATCATTCCCACACATTTTGTTATTGACTGTCAATCTCGCACATATGGTATATTATCATCTCTCACGCACTTTGTTATTGGCTATTAAGATCAATTATTTCAAATGCTGTTAGCTGTCCATATTGTTGTAAAATGTATAAATACCATGGCTTTCTTTATCGTTGTTGCACTTCAATACACAGTCACAGTCCAGCCTTTGTCTTTTGATATTTGCGTGCTTTACTAAATCGGAAGGTACGACAAGCAGATAGGCAGATTAGTTCAGGCGCAGACAGAGCAAGGTGAAAACGTCTTCATTTAATTCACTACAGTTATAACAGGGAATCAAATCTTATAGGGAACAGTGAAGCCAGCTAAAAGAGGACTTCAAAGAACAGAGTGAAATGGTGATGTTTTGTTGTGAAGCCCTATGTTCCACCTGGAACACAAAAGAATAAACATAATAAGCATAAAGTATTGACGGGTTCACATGGTAGATATCTTCATAGTTTAGCAAGCGTAATTATAGTAAGAACGTTACTATGGCCACGGTAGGGTGGGTGAATGTATGTAGCGCTTTTCAATGCAGAGGTCTGGTTTCAGATCCCGAATAGCTACTGCTTCAGCTATGTACAGATGACGTATGCGGAGTCTGTGTATTTCAAGGGTTGTTTATACTCACTGATAAGGTTTTAATTTTGGAATTTTTACTAGAAATGCCACCAAAATCAAAAACTTATCGTTCTCTGTGTAAACAACCCTTGAAGTGTATACTTACAATTCATTGATGTATTCCACATTATACACAAACTCTTCACATATATTTGTGGTCAAAGGTTAGCCTCATTGGGTCTATCCTTTTCAAAGGTCATTTCTAATAGTCATAAATGAAGATAGAGCGAACTGTTGCTCGTTTGGTTCATGTCCCGTCACTGGTTTAGACAGATATCAAGCCTAAACCAGAGAGATGACGTAAACTGATAAATGCCAAGTGAGTCTTTCGTATCCAACATGTTATGGCATATATTTGTCTGCTTTTTCATTAGTGTGCATAACATTCATCCATTCACATTCAGTCTTTCTGTCTTTTTCACTTATTATTGGTGTGTAGGTACATGGAACTTTGGGTTTGGTGCGCAATAGTATTGGTGAGAATGCATATGTTAGCGACGAAATAGTTACTTCACGTGCTGGTGTTCGAGTTCGTGTGAATAATACTGACGCTGAAGGTAGAATGGTTATGACTGATTTATTGTGTGAAGCGAAAGAGAGGGTAGGCGTAAAATATTTTGCATAAGACAGTATTACTATTATTATTGTTGTAACATTACTATCTTTGTCTTGTATATATTCTTATTTATACAATTATTAGTATGATTTTCTTAACTATCCGCTTGTTTAATGTGTTCTCCTACTAGTACATCGGTGGCACAGTGGTTAGGACTCTCGCCGACCATGCACATGGTCCGGGTTTCGACCCCCTACCGACGCACATCTGATATCTATGGTCGGCCTGCAAAATTTGGGCTACCGATATCACATACTGAAAATTCTATACCTGTATCAAAAAATACGGTGTGGAATCAAGCTGAAATAAAAAGAAATCTAACATATATTTCTACTTGTCTATGCTATAATTATACACGGATTAATAGGTGCTCGGGAGAAGCAAACCTGGGAATATCACTCAAACTTTAGGCCAAGACGAGGATGTACTGCTCATATCTTCACTCTTTGACAGATGCTCTGGAATGTAGGCATACTTATTGGTGTCCAACACCCAGTGCATTTTCTAGAGTTGGTTTGTAAGGATTAGATTTGGTTTTACGAGTTTGATTACAGATTGATATCAGTTAGAGAACCATTGAAAACCACGGAGTACTGACAGACAGCTGTTTCATCTTAGTTTGGGAATCATTGGCAGTAAGCACCCCTTGGGGTTCCGGTTACAAGGCAAGCTAGTATACCAAGTAGTGACCATTGAGGTCCATCCATATGTCACGTGTGAGGATGGTTGTCCCACCTACGAAAATGGTTGGGGTCGCGCTAAATCACGAATGGGTAGAAGTTAGAATTCATGGGCTGGTCATTGAATCGGGTTCCAGTGATGAATGGTGCATGAGCCAGCTTGCCTTGTAACCGGAAGGTCCTGGGTTCGAACCGTGGTGGTGGGTGCGTGCTGCCGACGATTCCCAAACTAGGATGAAAGAGCTGTCTGGCAGTACACCCTTCAGGTTCTCAACGGTGGATTTTGATTCCGTCAACTTGGAGGTGTTGTGACAACAAATCTCTGTAAAGGGAGTACCGTGAAAGTGTGTCACATTAATTAAGACACTCTACTCAAATTCATACATCTGTGAAGGAATTTAGAGGAAGTTGTCTTCTGAATTTATGACAACTAGTGGTGTCCGTGGTGTCCACATTTTTGTTTGATTTCATTTCAGATGTACTAATGGGTATGCTCCTAGTTGACTGTAGTGACTTGAGGATTGACCTTTTACCAAGGCGCAGTCTCATCGACTTATGGTTTGCGGATAATATTATCCTTCTAGGTGAAGACGTTGACAAAATGCAAAGTTGTCGAAACATCTTGGTGTGAGATCCTAGAATGTTTAGGGCTTGCAACTTCTACCCTGTCAAATGTAAAGTGATGCGCCAGTTATGACCATATTACACTGACCTTTATTTCGAAGATAAGTAGGATCAATTAGCTGAGTGTATTATTATTATTATTGGAGTGTAAACAGTCAATTACTGCAAACTCTTAATGATACAACTGAAAGTTTCATCGTTGAAGATGTGACTCATTTGTGTGAGTAATTGACTTTCAGTTAGTGAGTCGCGGGTCCAACTTCCAATCCACCTGCTTCAATCTGTTCATCTGGGTTTATTATCACCAACTTTTATACAATAATTATCTGGCTCATAGCCTGGTACACGGAAGATCTCTGCCGAGTAACTGAGTTTCAAACGCTAACACAACAGTGTATATATTGTTCTTTTGTGCATCTTTTTGTTTTACAGGCATTAAATGTTCCGAATGCACGATTACTAACAATTGCTACACTGACTGGTCATGTTGGGTTATGCTATGGACCGGGTTACACGGTAATTAATATAGACTGTTTTACCTTTAAAGAAAATTGTTCTTATCATTTCTAATTCTCTGCACTGTTTATTTTGTTGAGTCATTATGATAAGTTTCTTTCAAATTACTTTTGATTAAGGGATATATCCCGCAGTGTATAAAACGGTATTGTTTACTGGATGGCAAAGTTTCGAACATAATTTATTTTTTGTTGATAATCGTACCAATTGTATCACTACACAACTCTGACGAAATCTCAGCACGGATCCAGAGGGCTAGTTTTGCATATGTCAGTTTACTCAGTCTCTGGCGTCGACTGGCTATCGACCAAAGGACGGGTGTACTGCTCAACAGTCCACACCGTCCTCTTTTATGGCTAGCTGTGAGACGTGGCCATTGAGAGTGGAAGACATGAAAACCCTGACTAGCTGTCTTTGATCATAGGTGCCTGCGCTCTATCTCCCGTGTGAAGTGGTATAATAAGGTGACCAATATTGAGGTGTGGTATCGATCGAGTGCTAGGTATGTGGGAGGGGAAATCAATCGACGAAGTTGTGAAGTTACACCGACTGAGATGGTTAGGACGTGTGTTACGTATGTCTAGTCATCGCCTTCCTCGAATGTTAGGTGACATAGGGTCAGGCTGGGAAAGAGCTATCGGCGGTCAAGCCAAAACATGGCTCTACCAGTCAATGAAATCTACAACAGTTAGTCTAAGCCACGTAGGAAGGTGTAGACTTCCAGGTTGGGGTCCTCGGGACGGTAAAAACCAATGGTTAGCAACAGTTGGTGACATGGCTGAAAGTCGTTCTCAATGGTTAGTGCAGATGCATCCACTCCCTGTGACTTATGATTTCTAATGAAACTATATTGTTCTCCGTTATTACTATTCCTTCGTCTCACAACTCTGTTTACTGTCTCTAATATGCATTTCTTCTTCTACTTTCTTCTCTCGCTTTGTCTGCTACATGGAGGGATTGTGTGGACTTGAAATGGTGCACATGTATGCAAAGTTCCCGTGTCGAAAATAGACAGTCAGACACAACTTCCGAAATTCATTTTTATGGTCCTGATTCTCTTAGTGGTAGTGTTGTTGCTAATTCTTTATGGCCATATGATCTTCAAGTTGTAGCCAGAGAAGGCAGCTTTTGATGAAAGTTCGCGGTAACCAGTCGGAAATGCTTTTCTTGACGCGCGCAAAGTTTATGATCCACATAGAATAACTGACCTAGGATTGGTGTTGCAAATCAGGATTTTGTTCTTCATGCTGAGTTCAGATTTCCACACTGATTTCAGAGCGATGAAGGCCTTTCCTATTCAGGTTTTGACATCCGTATCCATGTCACCTGTAGTTGTATTTGAAACTATGTAACGACAGAAGATAAGAGTCAGGCAACAGCTCTTTTATAGAGAAAAACAGTATATATATATATATACGTATATAAGTACATATATTATTATTATTCGTTATTTGAGCAGAGATGCAACGTCTTCTGTTATCCATTTATCTGCGAGTCGTATTTGCACACGCTAAGTCTTCTGTGATTGGTTGTAGAGTTCCTCAAGGTCAGCTTTGTTCTTGTTTTTTCTCATGACCCCGATTCGGGACGTAAACATTGGCGTAAATTTCTGTCATAAGAAAAAGGCACAAAGAGCGAATAAAATTTTCTTCTCGATGATTCATTTTCATGAGCTGTACAATCGTAATTATAATTAACACAGAAATGTTTTGACCACTCAGATACTGGTAAACTTTGTCCTTGAAAATTCTACTGCATAATGTAAGGTGTAAGAAGGGATGACTAATTGGAAGTTAGAAAGGAGACAGAAGTTGGCATGGTGTAATAAGTGTGAGATAATAACTAATCAATAAGCTCGTGTAGAATGGACAGGAACTAGTGGAGAGGCTATAAAGTAGTTTTGTATAAGATGTGTGAAAAAGCAATGTTATTAATAAACAGTAATAGAGTGGTAATAAAATGTGGATGATGGGAATAGTAATAATAATAAAGGTATAATAATAATAATAATAATAATAATAATAATAATAATAGTGAACTTACATATTAAAAGAAAGGAGCAAAATTATAGTAAGAAATCTACTCTGGCCATGGTAGGGCCAGAGAATGTATGTATCGTTTTTGTATGCACAGGTCCGGTTTTAGGTCTCGAATAGCTAATGCCTCAGCTATGTACAGATGTCGTATCCGAAGTCCTTTTGTACGATATTGAGGGACTCTGTGTACCACTGTGAAGCATTCATGTGGGGGTGCTCGATGTCCAGAGATGACAAGGTGTTCGAGGATCGAGCTGTTGCTGTTCTTCTTTTCTCCTCTGGCTAACCAAGCTGGACAGTGTTCCAGGATACGTTTGTGGACTTCACGTTGCGTACGGCCGATATACTTTGCTCCACACGAGCAAGTAAATTGATAAATACACATTGAAGTGGCCAGAAGTGGTATCCTGTCCTTAACGTTAGACTGGATTAACTGTCTGCGGGAAAATTGCTGTCTTCAATTTTGTCTTGCAGACAGCTCTCACCACACTCGTTCTCCCGTCAAAACTTTCGACTGAAGTTGGTTCGGTTTCCTTGGTTCTCGTAACTTTGTTCGTTTGTCTTGCTGTCTGGAATTCCGACGCTCTCTGACATTCACCCGTTTCTGTTTGTTTACATTTACGTTCGTATGAACGTGACCCCGTCTCACAGTGAGCATGTGTGGTCCTTCCCACTCTGGAAGCTATTTGCCTGACCCAGGCACGCATTCGTCCGTGTTTCGTCTCACACTTTCATATGCTGCTTTCCCCCGACCTCCCAGCAGCGATCTAAGTAACACCCCATAGCTGATGAATCTTGAACACCACTCAAATGCTCGACAGCGTTGAAGTCTTGCCCGAAGATCCATATGTCTCCATCAAAAACTGCAGGCATAGGCTTTCCATTTGTCGGTACGCAGCGACACCAAATGTAACGACAGAAGACAAGAGCCAAGCAACAGATTGTTTATCTAGAAAACCAAGAGATATTTATAGATGATTATTATTCTTTATTATTAGCAGAGAAACAGCGTCTTCTGATTGGTCGTTTTCTCGCCGAAGGTTAATCTGTCATCTCTTTGTTACCGTTTCTTAGACAGTGCATTGTTATTCCTGCTAATCGTATCCACCCACGCTAAGTCTGCTGTGATAGGTTGTTGAGTTCATCAAGGTTAGGCTTTGTTCTTGTTTTTTCTCATGATCCCGATTCGGGACGTAAACACTGACGTAAATTTCTGTCTACAATTTTGTCTTGCAGACAACTCTCACCACAACTATACTGCCTTGATAAGTGAAGGAAGTAACTTTTTTCAAATCTCTTCCGTTGATATAGTGGTTGGTGCTTGTTGTTGATTTGTTATCTTCATCACCTCCATCTCTTTATGTTCAGTTAAAGGCCTGTCTTCATCGTCTACATCTTCTACCAACTTGCTGGTTTTCTCCTGTAAATATTCAACTTTGTGTGACATTAGACATAAGTCGTCCGAGAGGTTCAGATCTTTTAATTCTTCTAGTCAGTCGAATGTATTCCTGTCCTCTCACTCCCTGTGATCTGCCGTATAATCCAGTTCACCACAATAAGGAATTTCATCGGTAATGTTAGACAGGCAGTCTTGTCTAACTCTCTTGTCTTCACTTCAAAGGCTTTGGTAGAGTTAGTAGACTTTAGTCTTCCTTTCTAAATGGTGGTCTCATGTATGTTCACAACCTCTGTTAAGGCAGCTTCTGTTCACTACCTTCACACGGTGCAGGTACTCTCACACAAAAAATGAAGTAGTGAATGCGAAACTCTAATGCTCACATCCAGACTGGCGGGCATACAAGTCTACCTAGTGGAGGGGCTGGTAAACTCTGATTCCAAACCCATGGTAGTGTACATGGATTTCCGAATCTAAAAGGATCGATTGGTGTATGAGTGTGTTTCGGTTACCGTTAATCGTAGGAACGCTAACGTACTTACTGCCGTGCAGATGAGACTTCAAGTCCAGAGACTTTGAGATGACCAATCACCTACTTCGATTTTGGGCGTCTTAGCAGTATGCTAGCCCTCGTACATCTTTTAGTGTTCAGTATGTGCTAAATTTATGGTTAATAGTAATAAAATAAGTGACAAGCTTTCATTTTCTCAAGTCTGTGTGGAGGTCAATGGCACTACTCAGCATGAAAAACAAGATGTGGATTTTCAACTCCAATGTGAAGTCAGTGCTACTTACTATACGGATCAGAGACTTGCCCTGCGCGTTACGAAGAGCACTTCGAACAAACTACAGACTTTCATCAACCGCTGTCTTCGCTCAGTACTCGAGATCAGATGGCTGGCCAGAAAAGATCAGCGCAGGGATCTCTGACGATGAGCGAACCAACCAAGAACCGATTGTGCAACAAATAAGCAGGAAGAAATGGAGGTGGATTAGCCATACTCTGAGAAAACCATCAATTGACGTCACTAGACAAGCCTTTGAGTGGAACTCGAAAGGGAAGCGGTAAGTAGTTGGTCCTCAGTGCAAGGGTGACTTGGAGGAGGTCATGTGAGTAGGAGATGAAAGCATGCGGGCATACTTGGAGCCAGGTGAAAAGGTTGGCACAGAACCGAACGCAATGGAGACGTGCGGCTGAAGCCCTATGTTCCTTTAGGAACTGAAGGAAACAATAATAATAAGTGAATATGTTATATATTTATACAAAATGTTTCACTTCACTTCCAATGATCTCTTTGTTGCTTCTGTTTTTTTTTAAACGACAGGGTATTGTTTGTAACGGTCCAGCCAGAGAGCTTGAAGAGGACTACAACTATCAATTCGCTGGTTCATTATTAGGCGAAATGCATGAGGTAAGCAGCATTGGGCTCCGAGTGTAATATAGACCTTCAACAGAGGACATTTGTATTTTCCACATTCTGTTCCTCTACAGAATTACTGGTCATAATCATATCAATTAGTTACACTGTCTCCTGATTTGCTTTATATGTTGGTTTATCTCTCTATCTCTTCTCCTCGCTTTTTGTTGCCACTTTCCATATCTCCCACATAGGTGTTGCGTCATTTTTGTTACACGGATGCGGTGTTGAATCGATAAACAACAGATTCAGTGATTAATCTCCTTCTCTCTCTCTCTCTCCACCTAACTACTATAAAACTGTTTAATATTCTCACTCTGTCTCATCCTATTTTGTGATGACATGCAAGCGAATGCAGTGCAATAGCCTGCCTAGCTGTTTTCTAGATTATTTCGTGGTGAGAGAGAGAGCTGTCTGCTAGCCAAAATTGGTAGACAGCAATTTACGTCGATGTTTACACCTCCCAAATCTTGGTCATGAGAAAAAAAACACAAAAACAAAGACTAACTCAACAACTGGTCACATCAGACTTAGCGAGGGTGGATACGATGTGCAGATATATCCACAGACTGTCTAAGAAACGAAAACAAAGAGATGACAGAATAACCGTCAGAAACAATAACTCTTATGTTGTGTTAATAAAGTTTACTATATTATGAAATAGCCTGATGATTATTGTTTCTTATCATGCATGCATAAATGCTATAAATGAGATAACATGTAGAAAATTTTGGTAGTCATTTCATTTGATTTGGCCTCAGTGGAAGTTAGTTATTATTATTATTGTTCCCTTGGGTTCCTAGTGGAACATAGGGCTTCAACTGCACGTCTCCACTTGCTTCTGTCTTCTGCTATGCTTTTCACCTGCATCCTTCCATGTTAGTCCATACTGACTGTTTCAACTCCTCTTCACACGATCTCCTCTATGTCACCCTTGCACTGACGTCCAACTCGCCGCTTCCCTTTCGAGTTCCACTCGAGCGATGGCCTGACGCGCGCGCGATGTCACCCAGCGGCCTCCTCAGCGAATGTCCAATCCATCTCCACTTTTTTCTGCATATTTGTTGGTTGGGCGATTGCTTCTTGTTTTGTTTGTTTGTTCCCATAGTTTCCCATAGTTGGTGATTCTTTCCGGCCCGGCCATCTGATCTTCATTATAGAGCCAGCGAAGACATTTGTTGTTGATAAAGGTCTGCAACAGGCTGTTGGAAATATTCTTTGTGACCCGCCCACCAAGTTTCTGATCCATATAGAAGAACTGACTGACTTGACGTTTGTATTGAAAATCCGACTGAATTTTGTTGGTGATGCTGAGTAACGAAGATTTTCAGATTGATGAATGTGTTTCTCGATGCCTTCCCGATTCTCGCTCGATTTGACATCCTCGTCCATTCCTACTGCCTGTAGTCGAGACAATGCTTTCTGGATAAGTGAATGAAGTAACCTCTTTCAAATCCCTCTCATCGATGGTGATTGGCGCTGGATGTTAATAATGAGATAACACGTAGACAATTTTGGTAGTCATTTCATTTGATTTGCCCCTCAGTGGAAGTTGTTAGTTACTCCAATTTATTATATCATGATTTTGCATTTCTTATTTCTTATCATCTCTTTTGTCTTTTATCCATATTTAGGTATCAACTCTTCGACGTGAAGATTTCGATGTACATAAATCTGAAGAAGAGTATTCTGATTTAAGAAATTCTGCACGTTTAAATGCTGGAAAACGTTCTAGAGGACATCAATCTCCAGTAGCATTTATGATTGTTGCTTCAGGTTTGGATTCAGTAAGTGTATACGTCAGTATATGTGTTATATATTTGATAGCTGAGGCGCATATTCAGTGGGGTCTTGTAAATATTCATTCTCAGGCTTTATAGACAGACCGCTGTAACCATCCTTCTATGATTTATGCGATTATGTAATCATTGTATAATGCTCACGGAGACTGTGAAAAGGCAACGACGGGTAACGCCGTCTTTCCTTCTTTTAACGGACGCATTCAAACCGACCGCACACATACGACTATCTACTGGAATCCAGTCAAGAAGTGATTTTTCCGCCTTAACACTCAGTGCTATCCCTACACCTGCGAGTCCTCGTGAGCTAGCTGAGGGGTCTCCTGTCACCCTTAAAGTGAATTTTGCAGATTCACCTTGTTGACGGGTGAGTTAAATGAATGACCACACTCGGGTCTTGTTTGCGTGTCTCCGAAACACAACATACATCCATGGCTCGAGATGCCAGAGTTCTTGCTAGTGATGCCTGTTGTCAGATTTGTCAGAGGGTCCTGACGTTAAATGCTCCTATATGAAGTTGGCGACGTGACTTTAAAAGGCTATCTGGGGTTTTCTGTGGCTCTCACCGTTGTTTGTGGTCACAGAGTGAAGTGAAGATGACTCGGTAGCCCGCAGAATAGTACTAGCTGTAGTAGAGAATCAAGATGAGGAAGGTGGTGTGAGTAAAGGAGAATGATGCTCAGGAAGACTTCGTGTGCCTTCGGATGTGTGTGGGCGGTTGTTACTTCCCGGCTGCCCACACCGTGGAAGTTGATTGATTAGTGTTGCGTGGCCGCAGAGCCCAGGGGACAACTGCTTGAGTCCGGTCACACACGGCCTGTGTGAACTGGTTTCTAGGATTGTTCCGTATTAGTAAACTTACCGCCGGTTACGGACCACCATAGGATAAGTCGGGATGTACAATTTTGGGGTCGACCTTTTCTAATCCCTCTCTCTGGAGTGGAGAGACAGCATAGCTGGCATGCTGGTCGTCTGAGGGAAACACCTCACTGCTGTTACACCCTGGTTCCCCAGCAGTACGACTTCACCCTCAGACCCCCAGGATAGTGTAAGAAAGATTCCTACACAATGCCGGTAGCTGCTTTTAGTCTAATCGCTATCCTAACAACCTTCCTAGCATGGTAGGACCTGCAGAAACATTAGTTTCAGCCAGTACAGTTTGTTGGGTCATCGCGATGTGCAAGCCCGACCACCACGTCAAGGTAGCAACTATCGGTCGGGGAATGCTCACCGACCATGTATGTGGTCTGGGATTCGATCCACGGGCGACACACTCCGTCACCTCGCCAAACCAGTAGTAAGACCGGTAAGGAGGGAAGGTTGGGCGGGAGGCTAGCAAACCCATCCCATAAAAATAAATACCACTGCTATCGAAAGTGAAAAGCCGTAGCTTGAAACCCTATGTCCCACTGGGAACGTAAAGGAATAGAAAAAAATATGTATATTTTGTTGGACCAAAGTGATTTTAAGCCTGTCACTGGATGAGTTGTGTAGTGGCCAATATGATTAGGTTGGGAAAGAGTTGGAGACCGTTAAACCAATCCATAATGTCTTTGACAGTTAGTCTGAGCCAGGTAAGGGTCATCGACATGCTAAGAAGCAATGATTGAAGGCTGATCTAGCTCCAAGACGTTCTCAGTGATGCAGATATGCTCACTCTTTGTAATATTATCTCCCAGACCCATTGAATTCACATATGTATTCTTTGATGTTACTGTTCTTTCTTCTGTGGATTTTTGCTCACTATAGGTCTTTTGAATTTCATTCCCTTCTTCTTCTCTACATTTTTGTGGCGTATGTATATCGTGTGACAGCTTGAATTGGTACTCTTCTGTGCAAAGTAGTTGTACGTTGCAACTTAGTCAGTCTGTCTGTTAGTCTAGGAGTACAGTGTAGTGATCACATCTCCACACGCGAAGGGGCTGTGGAAAATTGGCATTTTGCCGATGTGCAACAGTCGCCATACTTTTTCTTTTAATCTTATGGAAGCATTTGACTGTATCGATCGAGGGTTACTTTGAAATGAGTACTGAAAAAGTATTTCCTATTAATCAAGGAGAACACTACTCTAACTCATACAACCGTTAAAAAGCTTATGGGGACTTTCATCTGAAGGGATGGCAGTCAGGGATGTCCAGTGTCATCATTTGAAGGAAAAATTCATTACAGAAGTACTAATGAGTATTTGGCGACTTGAGGGTAGACTTGTTGACATGAAATTGTCCTTCAGGGTAAAAGGGTTAACAAAATGCAGAGTCTTCTGAACACCTTGATTAAAAATCTTAGTATGTTTGACATACGATTCCCCCGTGTCCAACACGAAATTTTGCTACAGGACTAGTTTACACTGACTCGTAGTTTAAAGGTAAGCAGAAGTGAAGTGGTTGGGCGTGTGTTGTTGACCACGTCACTTATTTGAGAAGTTACATCACTCCTAATGGGTTGATTGTTGACGAAAACGCAGCACGGATACAAAAGACTTGTGTATCATTTGCTAACTAGCGTCATCTCTAGCTCATCGATCAAGGAATGTGTGTACTGCGCAACAGTTCTTTCAACCCTTCTTTACGTCTATTGGATATGGCTTTTTAAAGTGGAAGATATGCGAAGGTTAGCTATCAGTTGTTTCTCAGTGACTCTGTTGGTAGCTATAGGGTTAGATTTCGTCACACACACATACATACTTTAAACCAGTCTCTGCAGCTTGGTGTATTAGCAGTATATTTCAATAGAATGATCAAGTGAGTGAAGGCCAATGTACTCTGTTAATTACAATTACAATTAGAACTTAGTTAGTGGATGGCGACTAGCAGTGGAATCGTGGATGCGCATTTCGTCCTGTTTGGGACTCGTCATTTGGATGTACCTGCATTCCGCAGTGAGTGATGATGATCCCACCGGGCTCGAACCCAGTGCCTGTAGTTTCAAACGCTAAACCGTTATCCGCAAGAGCCACATCCTTTGCGATGGGTCATATTAATTATTTAATTGAATTTTAGATTTTCCCGTTGATTGAATTAAACAATTATAATTACTTGTGTATATATCTCTGAGGAAATCACTTTTCCTCACTTGGAAGTGTTTTGTATTATATGACAGACGTGAACTCATTTATCCCTTGATTTCCGATTGGAACATATATAGGGCTTCGACAGCACATCACCACTTCAATTTAGTTCTCTGCAGCCTGATTCACTTGGCTCCACAATCACCCATAAACTTTCATTTCCTCCTCACATACTATCTTCTCCATTGGGTGGGGCTACCGTCGCTGAACTCATTGTTTCTCATTCAAGTTTCACTCAAGGGTCCTGCTTGGCGCTTGATTGTCACTCATGATTCTCTTCAGGTTTCGTCAGGTCCATCTCCATTTTTCTTGTAAAGTCTGTTGTGCTACAATCTATGCCACTTTAGTAATTAATCTGTTGGAAAAATGAATTAGTTTAATTTTTAAGTGTCAACAAATGGGAGTTGTTGTTCATCCACAGTATAGTAGACATTGTGTAGCTCCCGTCAAATGTAAGATGATGTTACAGGACTGGACTACACTGACTCCTAGTTTAGAGATACGGAGTGAAGAGTGGCTAGTGGAGCGTGTTGACCATCTCACTTATTTGGGAAGTTGCATCAGCCAATGCCAACGGGTTGATCTCTGATGAAATCTCAGTACATATACAGAAGGCTAGTTTCGCATATGCCAGTTTGCGCCGTCTTTGGCTTAGACGTGATATCCGGCTGGCTATCAACTAGAGAACGAAAGTACTGCTCAGCAGTCCTCTCCGTCCTCCTTTATGGCTGTGAGACCTGGTCATTGAGGGTGGAAGACATGAAAAGCCTGACTAGCTGTCTTTGATCATAGGTGCCTGCGCTCTATCTCCCGTGTGAAGTGGTATAATAAGGTGACCAATATTGAGGTTTGGTATCGATCGAGTGCTAGGTATGTGGGAGGGGAAATCAATCGACGAAGTTGTGAAGTTACACCGACTGAGATGGTTAGGACGTGTGTTACGTATGTCTAGTCATCGCCTTCCTCGAATGTTAGGTGACATAGGGTCAGTCTGGAAAAGAGCTATCGGCGGTCAAACCAAAACATGGCTCTATCAGTCAATGAAATCCACAGCAGTTAGTTTAACGCAGTCACGTAGGAAGGTTTGGACTTCTGTGTGGTTGGGCTCCTCGGGACGGTAAACACCAGTGTTTGGAAACAATTGGTGACATGCCTCAAAATCCTCGTTCTCAATGGCTAGTACGGATGCATCCACTCCTTGTGACTTATGATTTCCAATGAAACTATATTTTTCTTCGACATTACTGTTCCTTTGTCTCACACCTCTGTTTACTGTCTCTATTATGCATTTCTTCTACTTTCTTCTGTTGCTTTGTGTGCTACAAGGGGGGGGAGTGTGGCGACTTGAACTGGTGCACATATGTGCAAAGTTCTGTGTCGAAAACAGACAGATAGTAGACATTCCAAATCCTTACTCCTCAAGTAAATGTATATATATTAATAAATAAATTTTTTTGTACTCGTATTTATTATTTTTATAATTTTCAGCATACAAAGAATAGTACAAAGCCTTTGGCGTATACACACTTAGATATTGCTTCAAGTCATGGACCGTGTCCTGGAATTCCAACCGGTGTGCCTATACTAACATTGGCATCACGTTATCTTATTTCAGAACAAGTTAACTGGCCAACCAGGAGAAAATGAATAAGCCCATGAGAATTGTGCTTGTGTTTTGGGGATAATTTTCGATAGTAGAATCGAATGTCATCGTCATAAATGACTATTTGTCATATTTTTTAGTGGTGCTATAGTTCATGGTGTGTATTTATGTGTGTGTGTGTTATTCTGTGTGTGACTAGGATTATGATTCCTGTATTCAGTTGTCTATGATTCTTTTTTTCTCTAAACATCTGAATTTATGTATGATAATAAAAGAATCGTGTGACGTCTTTGTTTGTTTGCTTGTGTATTCTATGCGTTGGTGGTGCTCAGTGGTAGAATGCTCATCCTAGTCACGTAGAACAGTCCAGGTTTGATTCCCCGATCGATATATTCATAAAAACTCTGCCTCTTTCAGTAGCCAACGTAGGAGGAAGCCTAAATATATGAGGCTGGTAACCCTACTCGGTGAAAGAAACTTCAAAAAACCTCCATTCGACACTTACCTCTTTTTTACGTCATTACTTTTATGCTACTCATGAGTAATATAAAACAATCAGTAATAATAATTGCTTTATTCCAAAACAGTACTTGTGATACAGAATGGAATTCTCAGCATTTTACCACATTATTGCATCCAGTTAGTACATTAACAATAAATAAAATTCCACATAGATTAAGGGTAATCTTAGTTAGTTTTGACAACAACATATTAACATATTGATAGCAAAGCCAAAAAGGAACGGAGCGTTTGAAGGTGTTAGAAAAGTAGATGCTAGCATATTTACTGGCGTAAACAGTAGCAAAAAGGTCGAGATATACAAAGTGTGAAAGAACGCAGAAGAATGAAACAAAGCAGCACATAAGAGAAAAAAGAGATAGAGAGAAAAGGAAAAGAAAGAAAGAAAACGTTGTACCTATAAATGATATGAGTTGGAAAGACGAGATCCAGTTGTTCTACTGACTATTTATTAAGTTATAAGTTTTTAATAATAATAATAATAGTAACAGCTTTATTCCAAACAGTATTTGTGGTACAGGTATGGAATTTTCAGCGTCCATTACAGTATATTGCATCTAATTACCTCATACACTATGTAAGATTTTTAAAATCAAAAGATAAATAAATAAAAATAAATTAAATAAAAATTAAAAAAAACAGCGTAGAGTTTACATTTCAAACAATGCACCACAGGATATGAAATATAAAGTTGATGTGTGATAGAAGATGAGAACAACAGTGTAATAGTAACGAAGAAAGGAAAACAAAAACTAATGGGACTATTTGTTAGAGTGCCGCAGTAAGTTTATCGTGTCATACCTAACGGATTTCTCATCACCACATAACAGCTGTGTCAGATGTAGTATTGTGGAGTTTTTGCATTTGGTGGTCCTAGCATATAGCCGCCTATAGCTGCTTCTAGTTCTACCAGATGAAATGCAAGGAGGCAGCTGCGTATATAGGGAGGATGCTCGGGGTCTGACAATATTGTATTCGCTAGTTTCTTACATGATGTATTATGTCTATCTACAATAGTGGCGGAATCTTTAGAGATAGGGTGGTCATTATCGACAAGATGTTCAATGATCGCGCTTCTTATTGCTCCACTTCCACCTCTTTGTAATCATACAGGATAGTGTTCTTGCACCCTCTTGGACAAAACTCGAGTCGAACAGCCGATATATCTAGCTCCACACGAACAGGTGGATTGATAAACGCACAGCGGGATCTTGTCCTTCAGGTTATTGAACAGTAATGGTCGACTAGTAAAGGCTATTCTCAGAGATGCAGCAAGGAATGTTCTTTTGCATATAAAACATAGTTCCTGTCAGTGAAGCGTTCGTAAATAGGGATTCTACATCCAAAGAATGATTGAATAATCGTCCCTTGACGGGTTCGAGGATTTCAGCTAACCATCCAGCTACTGGATGATAAGGTGATCCGGACATATCCAAGATAATGCGGAGTGGAAGCCCAGCTTTCCGTATCTTCGGTATACCATAAAGTCTTGGTATTAGAGATCCTGTTGGTCTAACGTTTTCGTATGGTTCTTCACGAATGGGATGATATATATGTACATTACACTGCAAGGATAACTCTGGGGAATTGAATACTGGAGAACCCAAAAGATGTCACTGGCAACCTAGAATAATGAGAAGTGGCCGAGTGGAATACTGAACAGCAACAGCTCATACGTATTACCTCATTTCCAAGTGCACTGATCTTTTCTCTGACAAGCTAAAATCTCCACTGATGCCAAATGCGTCATTCAAGGACAAAACATGGGTGATATGAATAATCAATTGTTGTCTCGGTAAATTTTTGTGTCTACTCTGGGTCACTGGGCTCATATTAGTCTGAAAACTGTTGTACAAATAGAAAATTCTTAATAGTGAGTGATTATAGTCAATAAGAAGAAATTTACTGTAACGACAGAAGACAAGAGGCAGGCAACAGATCGTTTATTAAGGAATTCAACACATATTTATAGATTTTCATGTACATTATTATAGATTATTGTAAGCAAAAAACACAGTCTTCTGATTGGTTGTTTCTCGCTGTACGTTAATCCTTCATCTCTTTGTGGCCGTTTCTTGAAGGTCAGATTATCTATCTGCAAATTGTATCCGCCTACGCAAAGTCTCCTGTGATTGGTTGTTGAGCGATTGTAGTCAATAAGAACTTTACCGATCGTAATATTTACAATGTGACACTATGTAATGCGCTAGTGTGTTTTCATGCTTTCTAATTGATAACAAAAAATAATTCGTGCAGAATTAGGCTACTTTTTAGGAAGTCGCATTTAAAGGTACATGATTCTTCTGCTTTTTGAGTATTGGTGTTCAATAGAAGTATTAATTTCATCATACTTCATGATACCTTGTCTTCAGATAGCTATAGAATTGGGCTGAGGAAATTCCCACCCAAAATGCGCAATTATATTCAGGTTTTACGCTTTACAGGTTCTTGTCTGTCTTGAGGGACACAAGCCTCAGTAAGCAACGAAGTGGAGGACTTTCCCTGACATACAGTGTACTGCTTTCTTTCTGAGAAATGAGAATGCAGCCATTTGACAACCCAACACTCACTGTGAGTTTCAGCAAGCTTATCTGACAAAATGTCTCTAGGTACTGAGTCGAAAACAGATGTGTAATCTAGTAAGGTGCAGTGAACAAATTTACCCACCCCCTGTCTAAGCTGGAGACAATGTTGTGGTACAAGACTGCAGCTTCATCTAAAGTACTTCTACTCTGTTTGTAGGCGAATTCTGTTGGGATCATTAAAGGCTTCAAGTGAAGGTTGAAGATTAATTAAGAGTAACTGGCGCGGAATCATGCTCCTATTCATGCCAAGAAAAATACTATGCTGCATCATCCTGGAGAGAATCAAACAAGCCAACCTGGATGAAAAACTTCGACCGGAACAAGCTGGATTCAGGAGAAACAAGTCATGTATTGATCAAATCGCCACACTAAGGATCATCATTGAACAAAGCTTGGAATGGCAGTCAGATTTTTATCTCAACTTCATCAACTTTGAAAATGCCTTTGGACAGCGTCGATCGAAAGGTGATTTGGCAATTACTTCGCTACTACGGGGCGCCATCGACAATCATACATCTCATTCAACAGTTGTACGACAATTCTGCATGACAAGTAATCCACATCGGGAAACTTACGGAATCGCTCGAAGTGAGGACGGAGGTGAGGCAAGGCTGTCTACTATCGCCAATGATTTTCCTGATTGCAGTAGATTGGATAATGCTACAGACAACGAGCAGTGAGGAAACAGGCATAAAATAGACTCACACGAAAAAGAGACTCGGAGGATCTGGACTTCGCCGATGATGATATATGTCTGATTTATCACAAACTGGAAGATATGCAAGTGAAAAGCAACAAGCTGGCGATAGAAGAAGCATCCAGAGAAGATAGGACTTCAGGTGAACATAGAGAAAACAGAGGTGATGAAGATTCCTCACTAACAACAACTGCAACAACAACAGACAACAGTCAGCCGGCATAAATGTGAGAGTTCTGAAAGAAGCAACATCCACTACCAGCCGACCTGGGAAGCATCGTTTCAACTACAGGCTGGTGGAACTGATGAGGATATCAAGACAAGGATCGGGAAGCAAGGAAAGCTCTCATTCTCTCAAGTCTGTGTGGAGGTCAACAGCACTACTCAACATGGAAACTGAGATCCGGATTTTCAACTCAATGTGAAGTCAGTGCTACTATAGGGATCAGAGACGTGGCGCATCATAAAGATCACCTCAAACAAACTACAGGCATTCATCAACCGCTGTCTTCGCTCAGTACTACTCAAGATCAGATGGCCGGCCAGAAAAGATCAGAGACAGGGATTTCCGAGAGCGAATCAACCAGGAAGCGATTGTGAAACAAATAGGCAGGAATAAATGGAGATGGATTGGCCATACACTGAGGAAGCCATGAAGTGACATCACTAGACAAGCCATCGCTCGAGTGGAAGCCGAAGGGGAAGTGGCGAGTTGGTTGTCAGTGCCAGGGTGACTTGGAGGAGGTCATGTGAAGAGGAGATGAAGGTATGTGGGCAGACTTGGAACGGGGTGAAAAGCTTGGCAGAAAACCGAAGGCAATGGAGACGCATGGATGAAGCCCTATGTTTCTCTAGGAATTTAAGATATAATAATAATAATTTCCATAGTTTTTAGAAAAGAAGAGGTAAACGCAATAGGTCTAAATTTAAAACATGTTTCAGTAGACGACTTAGGTATGGGAACAATTTTAATATCCTTCAAACGGCTGGCACGACATTTCTGGAAAAAGATTCATTAACTATGTCCATGAGAGGATACACACAGGATATCAGCACACTTTTTAAGAATAACACTAGGCAAACCATCTGGACCTAGGCTACAAGAAGGCTTCAGAGGCTGGAGACATTTTATAACACCTCATTTGTATTGGAACCAGGGAAGCAGGTTTCATTAACACTTGTAACACTAGAAAGGCTGGCATTTGGGGGGGGGGAGGAATGTATGAAATGTATGTATGTTATG